GAGGCGACGATGATGAGAAATCAACAAAGGGTAATAGTACAGTAGCCCACGAGACGAAGGCCAGAGAGCTATCATTGGGTCTGGTCACTACCAATATAGCCAAGGCAATCAAACCGGTGACGACGAAGCAGTATGCTCCAAAACGCAAGATGGATGCTAGACTTTGTGCTGGCGTCGAGGTCCGCTGGTCCAATTCATCGAGAAATTTCTGCAGCCGCTTTGGAAGGAGTGGATATGGTTGAGGACCCAAACTATCCAGTTCCAGTCCTGGATTCCCAGTTGGTGGTTTATTTGCATCTTGTTCAGCTCCTGGTTGGGAATGTTGCGGGTGTCTGGTCCCGATAATCACAGAGCAGGATGTGCGCCAAATCAGCAGGATGAGCCAGTCCACGATATTGGCAGAGAAACCAAAAAGTTGGTAGATGGCATCCTGCAGAATCCAACCAAAAGAAATAAGCAAGGCAACAACGATAGCGCATGAGAAGGCGCCAGATAAAACAAGCCCAAGTGACGAGCCACCTGTGGCTAGGCCGACATCCCTCCAGCGGATTTCGGACCCTGTAGTTACGTGGAAGGTTAAAGCCACAACACTAAGGGATATGCTGTAGATTATGATGGTTTTGTTCAACCAAATAAGGAATAGCTGAGCGCGGACGGGTGTGCGGGAGAGCCAGTGCTCAATCTGCAGGCGTAGGATAATGAGGAGGAAGAGATCTTGGGCGAAGAAGGACGCGCCCCATATTACCAAGTGCTTTGTGGAGATAGACGACAGGTGACCGTGGATATAGGAAACTTTAGTGCTCAGCACCGCCAGAGTGGTGATAGTAAATGCCGTCCTGGTGTTGAGGAAGGATGGGAGGGAGGCCTTGGCGAGCCACCGTGGGAGCGGCCGCCCAGTCACTCCATTCATTGTGGCCGGGAATGGCCCGCCAGGAAGAAAGCTAAGAAGGACAGTCCGGACTGACTCCCTATTCCTTCATGGTTGTCTTCGGGTGAAATGAGCTCTGATCGGCGGATTAGTCCCAGCCATGGAAAGCCAGCCGCCAACAGTCAAGTAGTAACGGAGAAATCGAGCAAAAGGGAAGTGGGCGTAGCCAGTCTCCAGGCTAAGTTATGGTTAAATTCTGGTGGAGGAATATTGCCTCTCCCCCCTCCCCTGAACTAGACCTAATATTGACGCCAAGCATTGCTTCTGCATGAGGCTGTGCCGATGAGCGCAACTTGGCCAATGACGCTTGGTCTTGGTTCATAAAATGTAAATCCTTCCTAAATAAGCAGCGCCCGGTTTCGAAACCGGTCGGCTAGAACCCAGCCGTCAGGTTAGCACGGCAAGAAGCACGAAACTGTTGCATGGCGTTGGACTTAGTCTAAGAGAATTTTAGAGACAAGACTACACATGGGAAAACCTAGGTAAGTTACGCAGACAGTACACGATTTTACCCGTGCCAGATGTGCATAAAGTCCAATACAAGGCATGTCAAAACACAACGCCATCACCCCACCTTACCCTGCCAATAATGCTACGCCAATTTACAGGATCACAGCTGATCAATGGAGGCTGTACTGTACGCGTGGGCCAATGATTGGCATACGACTGGCCCGCTCAGGGAGAATTCGGAGTTAATTTCCTACTGTATCAATTTAATTATTAATTAATTCAGCATCCTTCTTACGTTATTCAAATACATATACAGACTTTTGTTGTCTCTTTGATTAATTACAAACTAAGGCTATGTTGCCTGGATAAAAAAAGAATGAATTATAGATGTTATGTAGTAGTCAAGTAGAACACAATGAAAGAAAGATCAGCGGGCATGCGACATCCAAACGCAATGTACAGCAAGTACCAATTTGTTGAGAAGTCGCCGTTTTCAGAGTGCTCAAGTCTCATGTCTTTTCGTCAAGGGAATCAGGCACAAAATTGTTAGACGCTGGCGCCAAAGTCGATGAATTGTATTGCTGGTCATGAGCACACAGTCAGCTGAATCCACCACCTGCTTTCATACTCGTGATTGCTCCGCTAAGCATCGGGCTTATTCTCCAAATCTAAATCTTAGACAATTCTACGAAGAGGAGTGCTTGCACTATGGGATGATACTCTTGGGAACAGCCAGCTCTATGTTTCTTGGCTTGCGTCTTTCAATTCTGTCCTCAAGCTAGATTAGCAACTTGCTTCAACGACAATGGCAGTCTGGCAGACAGTTGACAGCTGACAGCTGACAACAAAGCATGATCTAGTCATACGAGCAAATTGCTCTTTGTACTTTAGGTCAAAGTATCTTCCATTCAAAATTTGTAGACTACTCTACCTTAAGCGGAGCTAATGGCTTCGACCAGAGCCTTCCGCTAAACAAGGTCAACAGGGATATATTTTGTCCAGTCTCCCTTCGCTGCCAACCAGTCCAGTGGCTCCATGTGCTCGACGGCACCGCCGTATGGACGACTGACATAATATCCGATGAAGCGCTGGATTTCGGGCGAGAAAGTCTGCACCACATCAACCGGGATGGCAACGTACTGATTCTCCTGTTGGCGGCACCATCCGGGGGTGGCAAAAGTAGTGAGAAGAGTGCTGGTTTCGGTGCCCGTATTGGGCAGTTGGCCGAGAAAGACAGATCCCAAGCTGCTCATGGCTTAGTACAATTGGGAAACGAGATTCATACAACAAATGGGTTCAACTCACTGGAGGATCGCGTCGCCTTTGGCAAGCTCGACAATGAACTCCTCATTTTCCTTTGGGTCTCTGCTATCTTTCCACTGGTTCGATCCAATGACGACCCTCAATGCGCCACTTGAGCGAGTGATGGGCGTGGCGGCAAAGCTGATCCCAAAGTCTGTCTCTCTTTTGGCAGGATGAACAGTGTGATGACAGTCGTCTTGCCTTCGCAGACCCCATCCGGCGGAACCAGGTGTTGAGGTCAGAGTGGCCGTCAAGGAAAGCTGAGGTTCGGCGGTGGAGACTGTGCGTTCTTCCTCGTAGAAGATGATGCAAGTATCTGTGAGGATTCGCTTGACAAGATCATGGTAGAGCTTATTCATCATGAGCTCCTTCACAAAGGTTGGGCTCTTAGCCGCAAGGCCGAAACCGAAGGATTGACCTTCGGGTAGGGTGCCGGCTTCCTTCAGTACTGCATCGATGGTCTCTGGCTGGGCAGCGGATTTGATGATGGCGACTCCGTCAGCTTTGAGGGTCTGCAGAACATCGTGGGGCTCAGCAGATGCGAGAAAGGTCTTGACGATAGTAGGCATTGTAGCTTAGGCGAAGTAAGACGATTGAGAAATCTCCTTGTTGGGTAGATAGACGCTTGTGTCTTGTGAATCTGTCGGTGTTAATGTAGGCGATGACAACGTGTTTTCAATTTAAAGAAATCCTTCATTTGATCTTGAACTTCAGTTCAATTATTTACGATTGAGCCGATCTGATGGAGCTCTTGTGTTTGATAAGCCTGGTTGGGCTGCCTGATAGCCGTTGTACTTCCTGCGTGGAGATAGCCTATGTTTACCATTTTGGGTTTACTTCTCCTATCGCCCCTTTGCTTGGCCTGTCGACACGATCGGCCAAATCACTTTGGGAATCTAGCTGAGTTTCGGCGTGCTAGCAGGAATCCCAGAATGGATCATTATTTCCCTTTGTCGGCGTGAGATTATATAAGTGCTTTGACGTATTGCCACGCCAGATCGATGAGCAAGCAACAAACAAGCCCCTTTAACTAAATTCACAAACCTGTTAGATCTTTTCGTCTTAATCGACTAAAACGCTAGAATCTTTCAAAATGCCTAACCCAGTCCACCAGAAGAACAACCCGGAGGTTACAATGCTTGATGCTTCCTCCCCAATCGAGGAGATCGTCAAAGTTATTCGCCGAGACGGAGGAATCATTATCAAGAACTTCATCACTCCTGAAGATGCCGATAAGATCCAGGCAGAGGGTGACCCGTACTACAAGCTTGTTGGAAAATACGAAGGCACTCTGTTCCCTGCATCGGACCCTCCTCTGAGGTATAATCAAACGAGGCTGAACTCACCAGAACTAGGACTTGTTCGCTAACAAGGGCCAGTGGATTTGCGGGCAAATCGCCCACGTTCGCCCATAAATGTCTCAATCACCCAACATACCGAGAGACGGCTAAGGCTCTCCTCAGGGAGGAGTCGTAAGTGTCCGATATCATTCCATTCACTGGACGTGCCACTAATGGCTTTCTAGCTACCCCTACCGAGATGGCAAGCGCTACAAGTGTGTCTCGAACCCCGTTCTGGCTGTATCAGAGGCCTTTTCTCGGGGGAGGTCGAATGCCCAGCCACTTCATCGCGATGATATGGCCCAACACTTTGACCATATCGAGGGAAGTGGCGAGAGTTCTCTTCTTGGATTGCTCGTAGCAGGAACCGTATGTCACAAAATAAGATCTTGCCTAACAACAGAGAAGTCTGCGAATATTAATATTTTGTATAGAAATGCACCTTCGAGAATGGGGCCACTCAGGTCATTGTCGGATCTCACAAATGGGCCGAGGGTGCCCTAACCGGGCCCGCCGACCGTTCTCTCTGCTCTACATGCGAGATGGAGAAGGGTGACGCAGTCTTCATTATTGGCAGCATTTGGCACGGCGCAGGCGCCAACATCACTGATGAGCGCCGCAACATCTTTTCGTGCCACATGGTCCGCGGCACCTACCGCCCTGACGAGAACCAATTTCTTGCCATTCCTCGCGAGACCATTGAGAAGTACAGCCCTGAGGTTCAAGCTTTGATTGGTTGGTCTGTTAGTCAACCGCACCTCGGTCATGTTGAGAATAAGGATCCCATCCTCACTCTTGGAAGCAAAGAAGATCCGTTTGGATATGGCAGTATGTTGGGGGAGCCTGTTTCTGTCACACCAGCTTGATGAACCTACCTATCCACGCATTTGATTGGAATGCAATCTTAGGATGAGTTGAAATCTTGTTAGATGGCGGAGATATAGCGAACAGCTAGCAATGAGTATCTATCACTGAGTTTTCTATAGCAAGATATTCAATTCCAGACCCAATTCTTTCACCACATCCTTCCATGGCCTCCAGCCCCTTTCATCAATACAGTCCCAGATCTTGTTCAGAACGAGGACCAAAGACAGAGGTGCTTGAAAGCCTAGAGAGGTGTGCATTCTCATCAGCCCATCCCGATATATATCTCTGCTCTCTACAGTCTTAGCGTGGACTGCGAGCATGAAAACAGGCCACATGCATGCTTGGAGCCATGATAAATTCTGCAAACTTTCTAGCGACTTCTTTAACACGTCCTGTATTCGGTGATCATCCGAACTGAGAGCATAGATGTCGTGATATATGTAGCACAGCAGGCCGAGCCTCCATATCTCGTTAAAGTGATGAACCGAGTTCATGTATTCAGACGAGACAGACGACATGTCAGGGTGCCAATTCTTGATTTTATCCAAAAGTTCAGCTACATTCAAGGTGGCGGACAGAAGCTGATCAGTGCTACCGCCAACCATCCTGATTTTGTGAATTTTCACAGCAAGATCAGCAGATTCACGTAGAAGCATGTGCATCTTCCAGTCAGGCATATTAGCCCACCAGTAAGACTGATGAAAAGACATGTCGATCGTTCCTCCTGATTTCTCACAAACCTCATCTGAACTCGGTTAGTGGCTACATTCAATACCGCAACGCTATCATATCTTACCTCCGTCGATGCACTTGATTTCCTCGAGTGATTCCAGCGGCTCAATGCCAAGAAGTAGCGTCCGGCCCATTGTTGCCATCCAGTTGAACTGCATCAGTACGCATTTCTTGTCTGTTTCGACATCGCCCATTGCCTCGGCTAGCCCGAGTTTCAACAGCCGCCTGCAGCCAATAAGTTTCAAGCTCCACGAATCGAGTCCTGTCCCGATCACCTACTCGAATTAGTCACTAATGCTTCAAGAAGATATAAAATCTTACATCGAATATAATCGAGAGCATCACGGTCAATCCGAGGGCCCAAAACCCTCGGCCCCTTTTCAAGGCTTCTCGGAACGAGCTCTTGATTTCCATTCGAAATTCTTTCAGCGTGTCATTTTCCAGATGTCCTAGTTTGGAGAGATGCAAACCGGACGCAAATAAGATGGTGTCCAGCAATGGTTTACATTCGATTGCGAGCGACCCATACACTTTTCTATATGGGTTTCGGACCGGTTCCACAGGATACAAACTGAGGGAAAGGGTATTTATGACTTTTAAAGTAAGCTTTCGATTTCCGTTATACAAGTCTGTGTGTTTCTTACAATGATGAAATAAGCGATCCTTAAGTAGTCCGCTCGGAGTCATGATCCTGAGCGGCTGGTAAGGGCTTAAATCAGTGTCCGCACCGGGAGAGGTAGCGACCTCCCCAGCTTCCTCACAGTCGTTTAATGTGAACGGGGAAACGGGCACTGGCGCGTGGGGATCGCCGGCCAAAGATAAACCCAGCGTGTCTTCTGGGCTGGTGTAATCGTAATACAGAGATGCCTCGAAGATGTTGACCAATGGTTGTTGGTGGTGCATGTTCTCTTCCTTGTCAGATATTACTGGTAGTGGAGAGTTGCTCAATGGGATGGTTAGGGGCGGGCTCGAAGTCTCGGCCTGAGGCACCTCCTGCGAATCCTGAGACTCCGTTGGCGGAAAAAAAGATATATTGTTTGCTGGAGATGAGTTCTTGCCACTGTCTGGCAATCTGGCACTTCTTTGGCTCGAACGAGGTGGGCGGCCCCTTCTGGCCTTGCCATCAGTACGGCCCACGCGGGTCAGTTTGGAGACCATATGCCCGTCAGCGCTATTTGAGATGGAAAACTCGCCCATCTGGATGGCATAACCGCCACATTGGACTCCTCTGGATCGGCAGTTGCGACATCCCGGCTTTTCCTCGTCGCATTTCTGATGTCTTTTTCGACATGTCCAACAACCTTGAATGTGTCAGCCATTCGGAAAGGAGTGGGGAGGGGGTATCGGGGGCAGGTAGCTACCATGTCTGGATCTGATACTGCTCATGATTGTGTAATACACATAGACTAGCGAACAAGAACCCAAAATTGGAAAGTGCAAGGATAGCGGGATCTCAATCTTTCTGGCGTGATTTTCTGGTGGTGAGAGGATGAAGGATGTCGAGGACAGGCTTTATCGTCAGGGGATACCAAAGGGCCACTCGGCTAGAACTCACCCCGCAACAGTTGCATAGAAACCACTTGCTGTAGGTCTTCCCCGCGCGTGCCTACATCGGACGTAGCGGAGAATGGGATAGAACATAATCACATTGGACATGATTGGCTTGAGCCTGCCGTTACACTACGTCGTAACGCCCTGTCAGTGTTATCTGGGCTGTGGTAATTCGCTGTGCTAATCAGTAAGCCAAGCAGGAGAGTCCGTCTGGGCTACTAGCGCCTCTTGTTTCCCCGCTGTTGTTTACTGGCAATATTCCTTATCATGGTTCCTGGAATGTCTCGCCCATTCATTGGCTGGACTGTACTGAGACTTGAAAGATAGCCTTAACAGCACCAGATCGGGATTAGCCCACATCTCCGTATCTAGGACTTGCAATGGCCGGTTGTTACGCTAGATAACCGAGCGAATAAGGCCCGTCGCTTACGTCCGGGAGGGCCACCGGATAACACCAGGAGCGCTGCTCAGCTTATACCTAATGAAGATGGTCTACACTATCAGACATGGCTTTCCGAGTATCGGATTGGCGGGGGATGTAGAGTACCAAGGCCTTGTGTGAGGAAATGTGCCTCTCCTCTATGTTCAATGATTATCGCGATAACGCGACTATCCCACTTGCTCGCATCACACGGGTTTCCAGCTGATTCGTATGATTACGTTCGGGATAAGCGTTTTTGTATTAGGTTTGTATGGGGAACAACCAAAAACCTCGAAATTGGCACGTTGGGTGTGATGGATTTAGCGAGCAAATATAAGGACCGCACAATCCCTCCCTACCCGTTCGACAACAGGAAACTTGCTGTCGCCTTGAGAACAATTGAAACACGAACAAACAAAACAAAATGTCAGAAACAGAGGTTCTAACAACCAACCAACATCTCCCAAGCACATTTGGGTTGTGGAGTGGCATCAGCGTCGGCTGGCTCACTGTCAACGCCTTTGGAGGACTGTCGTTCATCTTGTTCGTCAGTCTCTCAGCCGGCGGGCTCCCGGCTCTTTTATATGGATAGCAAGTGCCTCTTTTTATCGCCTTTAGATAATGAATATTAACCTTAAGGACAGCATCGCTTCATCGGCATGTGTGTTGTGCATCATGCTTGTCTTCTCGCAATGCGCAGCTAGGTTTTCTACAGCAGGTAAGTCTTGATTCCCCTCTTGTTTTGTCTCAGCCCATTGCATAAGCTCACACATTGTTGCAGGTGGCGCCTATCATTATGCCGCATTCTTGCTCCCCGATCAATACAAACGCTCAGTCTCATATCCTCTCGGCTGGCTCAACTATTTTGGGTGGATTTTAACCCACGCCGCCTGTTGCTCTATAGTAGCCACTGCCCTTCTAGCTTTGATTAATCTCTGCAACCCGAGCTTCGCAGTCGACACCCGTTGGCAGCTTTTTCTAGCATATGTTGCAGTTGCCTGGATCTGCTGGTTGGTGAATCTGTTCGGGCTCAAGGGTATTCCCACGCTCGAGATCCTAGGCTGTAAGTTTCCAATATTAAGATGATAAATATCTGAAAGCACTGACCTGTGACTAGGCTGGGTTACTGCCCTCGGTTTCGTTGGATTCAGTGTCGCATTGCTTGTCAAGGCCCCAAAGGCATCTGCAGAGTTTGTGTTCGTGGAAGTGAATAACCAAACAGGGTATGATTCAGGATTCAAGTCGACATAATGGTAGTGCTATTGGCTAATCTAAACAGATATTCATCCACTGCGTTTGCTGTTGTGCTGGGCTTGATGAACTCGTTCGCAACCCTCATGGGACTTGATAGCCCCACACATTTGGCGGAAGAGCTCCCTCAGCCTAAGAGAACGCTGCCTCGAATTCTCATCGTGGTTATTCTGAGTCAATTTGTCGTTGGAGTTGTTTGGATTCTTGTCCTGGGATTTTCCATAACAGACTTGGATGCTATTCTTGCCACCTCAACTGGGTATGTGGCCTGAATTTTTTATGCCGACACAGCTTCATTCTAACAATCATATAGAGTTCCAATCGTCGAACTTATCAGACTTGGGACTGATAGCCAAGCGGCAGCCATTGTATTCACGCTAATCCTAATGATTAACAACGGTACTTCTGCTCTTGGCAGCGCCATCACTATGAGCCGACAGGGCTTTGCATTTGCCCGAGACGAGGGGTTATTTTGGAATGACAAGTACGTCAAGCTAATAACAAAGAAACAAATTGGTGATAGTGGCTGACGGCTTTGAACAGATTAACGGCAATTTCCCCAAAAACTGGCTTGCCTGTTTGGTCAATTACATTCCCTTCAATTGTTACCCTTCTTATCGGTCTAGTGTAGGGACCCCATTCTTCCGCCGGGAATACGATCATGCTGACGCATATCAGTTTCTTGTTTTCGAACCAAGCATTCAATGCGATTATTGGCGCCCAGGCGATCTGCCAAATCATCAGCTTCGGTAAATATAGACTAGTCTGCTCAATGAAAGAAGTTCGAGGAGCGATATCTAACATGCCCTTGATAGGTTTCCCTGCTTTTATCTTGCTGGTCACCAAATCATCTAAGTTGCCCGCTGCGAAGTCATGGAATTACGGCATCTGGTCGACTCCCATTTACGCGATTGTTTGCGTCTATGCTGCCTTGGTTACGGTTGTCGCTTTCGTGAGTACAAGGCAGGATAGCCTCATATGCTGCACTTTGCTGACCTAAAATAGATTCCCCAATCATCTCCAGTCACAGCTTCGAATATGAATTACGCAGTTTTGATCATGGGAATCTTTGCCATGGCGATGGCTGGTACCTGGCACCTTGTGGGCCGTCACAGATTCTCGCCTCCGCTCCTTACCGAGACGTTTGAAGAAAGCGATGTGATCCAGGGCGTAATCGATGACGTGGCATCAAAGGAGGGCTCGCTGAAAAAGACAGCCGCTTCAAGCGCTGACCCTGTTGTAGTCTAAACTGTGGTTTGGGGAGGATCCAGTGACTCTTAGTTTGTGGACGGAGCACAGAGCAGTGGCCGATGGGATCAATGAGTTGTGGATTTGTATTGAGTTATTGAGAGCAAGTTGTAGATGAGAGAGTATCACAAGTCTTGGTAAACCTAAGTTTGCTCATTGACCATTCATTGCCATTCATTTAACTATTTTTGAGCCTAACAGATCCTTACTTGAGTGAAGAATCAAGTTTTCATTCTTAGTCCTTCCAGTTACAGCAACAGAATATTGGTTCTTCTGGGTAGTCGGACCAAGACTCCACTTGAAAGAGCGTCATTATTTAAAGAACAGAGATTTAGGCTGAAGTTTTCAAATTGACGATCTACTCACATGTTGCCCTCTTGCAAGACGCACTCGGTCTTCAAATTGGCGTCTTGGATACGCTGGCCCAAGCCCTATAAGATAAGCTGGTGAAGCTAGATTGCTAACAGCTTCGGGCTTCGGCCTCACCTCCCACCCTAATTATACCGTTTTCAGTTAAGATAGCCTAATTTAAAGATTTGATCACCTCCAGCTTTCAATATTCGATCGTATGTTTCTGGGAAAGATACCCACATCACGCTACCCTACCATCAAGCTCTGGGTTTAAATTTCCAGAATGTGTTAATAGAATAATGCGATCAATCAACCGATCTCTCTCAGATATTATTCACACCAATCGTCATGACTAACTCATATATCATCGCTATGCACCTGTGCAGGGAAATCTCACACTCTTTGGCGCAGCCTAGCGCATCAACATCTCAACGATCCGCAGAGATCCAAACACTGAAATCTAAGGAAGAGCCATCAAATTTAACGACAACTGATAGCCAAACATACCAGACGAAGTCAAAAAATCAGGTTGTGAAGAAAGTGTGACCACGAACTCGTTCATGCGGAATTAAGACCGTATTTCTAAATCAATTCATTAATGTATGTGCTCGTACAAAACCTCAATTCATATCTTAAGCGAACTTCTTCCTAATGGACCTGGATAGGATCATATTGTAAGACGAGTTGGCGGTCTTGGAACAAAGTGAGGAAAAGGGAATAGCATTTGGTTTAAGTAAGGGGAAAGGCATTCTATTTATCATGATTTTCATGCACCAATCATCAATCTTAAGATGAGGGCTTGAGTTTATTGAAGAGATTGGTTTTCTTGCCCCTTCATAATCTATCAACCTAGCTAATTTTTATATTCCTCAGAGTGAAACTACATACGACTGCTATACCATCATATATCAGCCTTGAAAACAGTAAACCAAAAGTTTCATCTTTCATCCGAGTCAAAAGCTAGAAATTAAGTCTACTTTTCTCCAGTCGATATTCATCCGGCCACCCAGTTTCTTCTCCTCTATATCTTAAGCAGAATTGTCTGCTTCAGCCTTCCACTCACTATGCTTGTCTTTGGGCACGCGGACAAACAAGAGATTGAGGACCAATGCGATGACTGTTAGTGCAGCGCCGAAATAAAGTGCCGAGCGGAAACCCCAGAGTTCGCTTGCACCTCGCCTGACAACCTCGACCTCCACAGTGCCTGCTATACCTAAACCTAGACTATTTCCATAAAGGTTCAGGGTCCCAATCAGACTACCAGCAACACCTTGCTCTCGCTTGCCAACACTGTTGCTAGCAATGATCTGAGCAGCGACGTAGACAAGATCAGGGCACATGCTTGCGAGGAAGATGGCCGGGAACGTCTGTTTCCAGTACAGCTGCTGTGCCGGCATGGTAGCCAGAAGTATCAAAGACGCGAGAGAAGTAAGGACGCCGATACACAGGATCCACTGCGCTTCCAGTCGGGGAATCAACACGGCTGCGAGAGCCACGGCACAGGATGCACCGACGGCAAAAGGGACCCATCCCACAGCTGTCTGGAGGACAGTCCAGCCTCGGATGAGCTGCTGCCACGCGACCATGTACCAGAGGAAAATCCCAACTGACATGTAGGTCACTAGTACGACGACGATGAGGGCCGTGAAGGTTGGTGTGGCAAAGACTTTGAGCGGCATGATGGGTTCCGCGGCGAACCTACTTTCCCAGATGAAGAACGCACCGAGCAATACCAGAGATAGCACTGTGGTCGCAATGATGTACGGAGTATTCCAACCCGAAGCGGGTGCTTGGCTAGACAATATTGTGATCAGCAATCGCGGAGGGTCTTGATGAAATGGGGACGAAAAATGCCATACTTCCAAGCAAAGCTGAAAAGAATCAAGCCACTCAGACCAAGGAAAATCCCAATGAAATCAATTTTTCCATCCTTGTCGACCGGTTCCTCCTTAGGTAGGAGGCAGAAAAGCGGTACTGCCGTGGCAACCATGAGTAGCGAACTGATGAGATCTCCCTGTCAGTCTCCCATGCTCTCACTAACAGCCTTTGCACTCACATTACGATAAAAAGCCATTTCCAATCGCCCTGATCCAGGAATACGCCAGCGAGGAGAGCCCCGATCAAGGCACCCACCGGCGGCGAGGCAGCAAATACCGCAAGGGTAGCATTGCGCGTTAGGCCTGGTGGGATCATGATCATCAGGGTTGCGACAGCGTTGGGCATGAGCAGCCCTCCTCCGATACCAGACATCGCCCTCATCGCTACGAAAGAATCATATGTTCGGCAGAATGCTGTCGTGAGTGAGAAGAGCGCAATGCTAGCGGCTCCGACGAACATGGAGTTGTTGTGGCCATACACGGCTCCCAGTCGGCCGCTGATCAAGACCATAGCGCTTTGTGTGAGTCTGCAATGAAGAAATCAGTCATTGAAGAAGATCAGGGGGAATAATATTGGAAGCAGACCCGTATGCAGCGGCCATCCAGTTGGCCTTACCTGGCCCGGGTTCGACACCGAGGCGTTTGCTAAACTCGTAGCCCCCTGCTACAGTGGTGAACATGCACGTGAACTGCGCATCACCGGTTAGTGTAGGCATTGACCCAAAGCGTCGGTAGAACATACTTGAAAGAAGTTGGTGAGGACAATCAAACCGATGATTGTCCATTGTCGTACCCTTTTAAGAAGAGGACCGGCATCGTTTGCTATTTTTGTGTCTCGGAGGTCCGGATGGATCACAGTAGTACCAGCGGCAGTCGCAGATACGGTTTGACCAATTATCGCGAGAGGCTCTTCTACCACGGCCGGAACGATTTCTTCTATGAGGTGGCCCATTTTCGGTATCTTCTTGTTGATGGTGCCTCACGTTATGGCACAGATACGGCTCATCAGCAAATCTCAGCGTCTCAGTACAGTTGATAAGACTACATGATCGAGACTAATGAACGAGGGGGCTTATTAATATGAGATAAAGTTGGCCAATGGATCACTTAGATTTAGCCCGAGTTCCAAAAAGAAGCATACCTAGGCTATATTTCATTTCAAGACTGGTTATTTACGTGGTAGGATCGAGTTCACAGAATGGCTAGACTGGGGCTAGGCTACTTGTTCCCAATATGGTTGGGTTTGCCTATCAGTTGGTTGGCAAAAGAAAACCCGGCCTAGATGCTGCCCCATGAAACCTCAGGCTAAGCCACCCGCTTCTGGATAAATCTGCGAAGCTTTTAGAGCCTTTACTATTCGTTGGTTTAAACCGCTTCAAGCTTCTTCGAGGCGAAAGCTCTAGCAAGTAACGCAGTTGTGTCTGGAGAAGGATAACTACACGAGTACCACGATCGAATAGTAGGAAGAACACATTTGATAATTTTATAAAATCTAACAATTATGGATAAATTACTTACTCTATAATATTCCAATAGAAGCTTATGAATAATGCCTACTAGGGAAACATCAGTCCTCAGATCAAATGTCGCCTCGGGGCTCCATCGCCTTAGCCAGCCGTCTCCTGCAGGGTTCCCAGGCGGTAACTGTATTATTTCGATTCATGATGGTGGGAACTGCACGCTGGAAGACGGGATAGTTGGCTCAATTTTTTCTATTACGCGACTGAAGGAAGCGCAACATAACATGCGGATGTGGGGGGACATGCGTAATCTATGTTCTACCTTGGCGGAATATACATTCCGCTCCTGGTCCACCACTCGTGGTATTGGCGTCATGAATACCGAAAGATGGGTGTCACACAGTCAATTGAGATATATATAGTAGAAAGTCGTCCCTGGGCCTCCAACCTGCTAACGCAAACCATCTTCTCCGTCACCCTAACCCACCTCACCAGCTCGTACACCATGTCTATGAAACAGTATGCCTACAAGGGCTTCGGCGAGAACAATCAGAGAGACTACTGGTACTCATCTGCCGTCCGAACCGGTGATTTCATTCATTGTGCCGGGCAAGGTAAGCGCATTGCACTCTGAACATCTGTCCACGTCTGCTAACTCTATCCCGGATAGGAGGTTACCTCGATGAGCACGGCACACAGCCCAAGACCATCGTTGAGCAGATCGACCAGGCCTTTGTCAACGTTGACATAGCTCTCAAGGACGCAGGTGGCGCTGGCTGGTCACAGGTATATCGAGTCAATTCGTTCCACGTCCAGCTAGATCCCGTTTCACAAGAAGCGATGGTACGCAATTTCAAGAAATGGATGCCTAACAACCATCCCACTTGGACCTGTGTTCAGGTTGGTAGACTCGGCGGGGACAATATGTGGGTTGAAATTGAGGTGTCTGCTTTTGATCCAGAGGGAGCCAAGAGGGAGGGAACCAGCAAGCCCTAGGGAGGTCATAGCGTATCTCAAAAATGAATTAAGTAAACGTGCGTATAATAATACCAGCACAAGACAATAGCGTTTGAAGGGGTGCTGTGCTATTAAAACTACAAAGTCTCCACAAGATCTCGCGTGATACGGCTCATAAACCGGTCTCATTGAGAAACATTAGACTCGCTTCGTTAGGATAATAGGGGCCTGATGTTTCCTTAAACGTGTGCGGCAGATAAGAACCATCCGACCATTCTGCCTCGATGTTACCCAGCATCCATTCGTGATCCGCAAAATTGAGACCACAATCCATAGCAGGCGGTACCTGCTCTGT